GGAAAAGGGATGAGGTAAATTGAGATCATGCAAATATCATTTTTATTTGCCCTCAAGCACAATGTTTGCCTATTCATCCATTAAAAAATGAAATTGCATGTCAAATACAAACACCTCATAGTTGAAATTTGAAATATTCATGACATGCTACAACAAACAGACTAATAAACCAAGTTACCTCTTTTTAAAAGCTGAATAGTAGCTTAATGCAAATTTTGACATTTTAAGAAAATATCCAAACAAGGTCGGATGGGGCTCCAAGCTGTTTTTGATGAATAAATCTACGAGCAAAGTGATGTATCTTATTCAGTTGTTCATAGCCATTTTAATCCCCAACGTAGCTACTCTTAAGATCCATGCATAACAAACTTCATCTCTGCCTGCAGCTCTTGCCGAATGTTTTCCGTCCAGGGAGCCATACTTAGACGAGGGCTTATAATATCTTCGCTCCTTTTACATTTTCTTTCATCCGCGAGTGCTCTAAAACAAAATTAGCCATCAATTCACTGAAGCGGTCAGAGTAACAAGTAGATCATGAGCTCTAATTGTTGACTTTTTTTTACGTCACTTGAAGTAATGTGATCTAATTACACGATGAAGGCAATTAGTGACGTCTTAAGGGAGAGAGAAAAAAATGTTGGCTCTTTGAAACTCTTTTGTCTTAGAGTAGAGAGAAGACGTGCTCGTAACTAATACAAGATTCAAATCAGATGCATCAAAGAGTTACCTTGCTAATGCAACAAGCTCAGAAAGTGTAAACTAAGATTTCATCTCCGCTGGTTGTATGACGTCAAAGGAGGAGCTTGCATAAGCACGATGAATAATGTCAACTACCTGGATATGAAGCAACTACTAAATAAGGTTGCCAAAATCATGCCCGATATACCTATTTGAAGACCAAAAAGAAAGATTACACAGCTAGGGTAAAATGTAGGAACATGTTGAAAATGGAGAAGAAAAAAAAACAGTCTCCAACAGCCAAGACCTGGGGATCATTTCACAAAACTTGTCATCGGTAACAAATGACTGTTGTTGTTATAAGCTAGTGAAATCCTTGCTTCTGATTGGTTATCAGCAGATTTTTCGCTTATTTTTTGTAATTTGTCATTGAAAAAAGGCTTTGTGAAACAGGTCCTAGGATCTGTCTGATCAAGAGGTTAATATCTAAAGTAGACAGGGTCAAAAAAAAAATTAAATCATCTTTAGGATAACAAAATTGACCTATTGTCATCAAGAGGTCATCTACAGTAGACAAGATTCCAAATAGTACACAATGGAACTCAAGGTCATTAAATTAAAAAATGTCTTTTTTCACCACGAATCTGTCATCTATAGTAGAAGATATTTAGATCAAATGTGGTGTTAGTCAAGGTCATCGGACAGCCCTTTGCCATCAGTAGCTTCATATCTAAGTGAGATTGATCACACAGGTCATACATTCTGGTGGTAAGGTCATACAATTGACCTTTCTTACCAGGAGCATAGCACTAAGATTAATTAAAAGGTCAAACACATCAGCTTCCAAGTCTTAAGGGCTGGTAAACTAGTTAAATTAACTTTCTATTGCTGCATCAGTAGTTTCAAATTTAAACATCGACTAAAATAACATTACGATTAGGACCAGGCTTCTATACTATAGCTTACTGTTCATGAATCCTTGTTCTACCCGATAAAGTTATCCAACCCCTTTTCTCATAATTCATGCTATACCTACTATGTCACTTTTTCCTGGGTCAAGTCATGTCCATCAACCTACAACTATCTAGCTTTCACTTGTAGTTTGTGAGGAACACATCATCTAAAAAGGGTACTCATTAATTTGTTTTCACATCTATGAATAATAAACCCAATACCATAGCATTTATTTCCACCATTGGTATACCTAGAGAAATATTCATTTAAATGGTACGCATTGAATCTTTCGAAAATCCCTAGAAACGGCCGGTACCGAAGGGGTTAATTTCTTCAAGAGTGACAGCAATTTTGCTCCCGACACTCTTCTCGAGCGGACAGATGATGGAGCAACAACAATCTAAGGAGCTGCTCAATAATTCAACATCCCTCCGCCAATGGCACTGTCTTCCATCGACCCCGGGTTCTCTAATCCTACCAGCGAGCGTTCTGGGTTGTCGTCGTATCTCATTAGAGGCTCGCGAGACGGGCACCATCTTCAACTCCTACAGAGCAAATTTGTCTGAATGGTGATGAATAGGTGCAATGGCAGACAGAAATCTAATTACATTGATCAAACACATACAGAGATTGCGAGATCAATCTAGATTTGCCGTTATTTATAGACGACGGCAATCATGCAGTTATGAACACTCAATTACATCTATAAATGGGAGAAAATACAAAGGGAGATCGCTTTGCCGTGGCCAGGGCAGGCGGGGGGGGGGGGGGGGGTATAGTTGAAGAAAGGTACATTAAAAATCAATACAGGCATCATTAGTCATCAAGGATCAAAAACACTAGCTATAATGTGAAATTGTACATCAATGAAAAAACATAAATAAGTATTAAAAAAAAGAACAATAATATTGTAAAGTTCTAAAATATAAATATAACAAACAAAGAGAGGACAGTGAAAGGTAAAGGAAAATGACCCCACCCACGCCAAAAAAAAGAGAGGAGTATACACACACAACAACATGCCAATAATGATAAGTTTAAATTGAAGAATTTGTCCCTCAACTATACGGACCAGACAGTTGAGAACCTCTAATATCAATCACAGGTTGATTTATGTAATATGCCACAGGGCTTTTAGCCTGCCTATATCACTTTGTTACAATTCCCTATACCTAAAATTCATCCCGCCTAAATTCCTCGCTCTTCATAACCCTAATTTAGTCTCGAGTTCAAACCCTGTGTAATCCCCAATAACCAGACAAAACAAGTTAAATGAGTAATGATGTCGGTTTCTGAAATAAACAATGCATAATTCCTATATATGGCAGCATCTTCCCTCGACACGAGGAGTTATGCAGTGGGAGTCAACAGATGTGTATCTTTATGTTTAAATATTTACTATTTTCCACCCTGAAAATATAGTCTAACATCAATCTATAAATATCTGTGAAAAATAATGTAACCAGTCTCTAAAATGCCAATTGCAGTAAAAGGTCAGAGGCGCAGTATGAGGTAATACAACCTTATATTGGTATATTTAGACTATTTTGAGACAAAATTGCAGTTTACAACATTTTTTACAGACAACTAGACAGTCAAAATAGATTCTCTAAATGAAGCAGAAATACATCACCTGTTAGCACCTTTTATCAACAGATGGCTCGTTCCAAATTTGCTGTAGACTATCTCTCCCCCCTTTTTTTTAGGGGGGGGGGGGGAGGGGACAAAGATGAAATATGCATACTGCCCTTTCCAATTTTACATACCGTTTCAAAACCTAATATATAAAGGACTGGCATTTAGAATGCTTGTGATGTAATATGTCTGTGATCCACACAAGGTTTATCACCAACACGATCAATATCCATGAACCAGCCAAGAAGAAATGCAACAGTTGGCATGGACAAGGAATATCTAGTACCCCCCCCCCCCTCCTCCTGCTCTTCCACACACAATAAATGTGTCCTTTATTTGTGGAATATAAATATAAATCAGTTTGTCAAATGAATACATGTTTTCGGAAATCAAAGATAAAATCATAGTCAGCCAACACCTGTCATATCTCTTCAAATATCAACATTTTTACCCCATTTTGTGATAATTTCAGCCTTTTTTACCAAAATTAATGATTGGACAATTTTGTGGCGGATATATCACATGTTTGCAAATGTTATTCCATCCTTAATGAAGATTCATAAAAATGTAATATGATCATCACTTTGATAAGGCTTTCATCCTTCATTCTGCTGCCTCATCGACACAACTGCGCATTAGTTTTCAAGGCAATCTCCTTGATCCCAATGTGTGTTAGACTCCGTGTGGCAATGAATTGATGGGTTTTTTTATTGGTCTTTACAGCACAAAGCTCTTTTGTGCAATCAGTAAACAGCATCATGAAGAAAAAAACGCAGACAAACTGATACATGGGTAAAGAAGAAAAATATTAAATTGGAATCCCGGTGCTCATTTGAAATATTACCTTCATCAAATTGACTATGCTAATTACGCTGCATCAAATTGGCTACACTGCGCTCGGTATACTGGGTGCAATCTGATTGGCTGGTAGGGAATATTTCATTAGATTAGCTCTGTGACATAATGTGAAGGGAGAGGTGAACTCTAGATGGTATGTCTGTACCCCTAGGAGGTACATGAACATGAAATTAGAAATGATGTATGTTAATAACTTTCTCCCCCTACCACCCCCTCCCCCCCCCCCCCATCACTTGCTTTCTCTCTCTCTCTCTTTTTCTTTCTCTCTATTTGTCTCTCCATCTTTCTCAGTCTCTGTCTCTCTGTCTCTCTGTGTGTCTGTGTATGTGTGTGTGTGTGTTTCTCTTTCTGTCTCTTTCCCTCTCTCTGTCTCTCGATCTGTCTCTTTCTCTCTGTCTCTCTCGAACTTTCTCTCTCTCTCTCTCTTTTCATCTCTCTGTCTCTGTCTTTCACCCCTTCCCGCCTCTCCCCTCCCCCGCCCCCGCCCCCTCTCTCTCTCTCTCACTAACTTTCCCCAGACAGTAGTTTTGGAATTTAATGGCAATTATAAATAATGCATTCAATCTTTCTCATCTTCTCTCATCTGCCTCTCTCCCTCCCACACACAACATAGTCTGGAACTCAAAACAATTTTTTTTTTAAATAGATATCATATATTGCAGTTCATTCTTTACTTTAAAAGAATGTGTGCAATCAATACAACAAATCATGTGCAACCTAATTCTACTCATGATAGTGCATGCACGTAATTAACAACATATAGAATATACAGACAAATAACAGTCACAATACACAGACAAGTATTAGTAACAGAATACAAACCGGGTTTAATAGGAATACATAAATCAAAATTGCTTGGTTTTTTTCTCTCTAAAGGTCGTATTTGCTTTTAAAAATTTGTAAATGTACATCCTAAAAATCAGACAAGAGGTTACAAAGGATTTCATGAAATGATTTGAGAGCTTCATAATAACACCTGTCATTTTATATCTGCAAATGTATCCAAGCAGATAGCTTGTGACTATTGATGGGGAAGTGAAAACATCAGTCATGTCTCAAATTCCGCAAATAGCTTTTAGAAATGCCATGAATTTCTTTAAATTGAATTTCGCTTTCCATCTATCTTATTAAATGTCATGTGTAAGGTAAAGTTGAACAGTATGTTTTTAGTTTTTAAATCATATAAATTGTCCTGTTATGTATTTCTTTCCATTTCATTTCTTTGAATATATCAGAAAATAATTAAGGGGTTTTACTCAAAGGGCATTTGTACTTCTTAAAATAAAATAACAAATCCTTTCACCTGTTTATATTCTCTGTTTTGCATTTTCTTTCTTTTTTTAACCTTAAGTTTTCAGCAGTTTGATTTCTGCAGTTTGCTATATAAGCAATAATGTTATTGATTGTAAATGTATGAGTTTTCATCCTGTTACAATGTTATATTACAAAGACCACCATACAAATTAACACATTGATATCTTGATAGCATTTCACTTACCTGTTTTATGCATCAGCAATGAAGATGTGCATGAGAGAAAAGCAGGAAAAAAGAGAGAAAGAACAAAAATATATTAGTATTCTCATTTATCAACAGTTCAGCATTATCTATAGCATGACAAACAGATTACCTTTACTCATTTAATTTGATTTTGGGATGCCAAGAATGTCATTTTGAATTGTGATACAGAAAAAGAGGCTGTACATCACATATCTAATACTTGGTGGTGGCTTTATATTACTATGGGAATGGGCCTAAGTTTAACTTAAACAACAAGACAATGTTACCTTGAACTAAGCACACAACTATGCCTAAATCTTCATCTTTTTCAGCAGAACAAATCAATGAAAATCAATAATCAGGATAAGAAATTGATTTAAATCCAACAACAAACACCTGCACAACCATCAAAATGCAAGATTAGTAAACCATTTTTTAAAGGATGCTAAAGTAACAGCATTTGTTACAAGATGTTTCCAAGGAAACATCATTGTAAAACATAAATATTTAAAGAGCTTAGCTGAAGTTGTCTCACTTATGAAAAATTTGAACAAAAAGGAAGAAAAAGAAAGAAAGTTGTGAAAGTTGAGAAACATGTGGAATAGGAGGGGAAAGGGCTAAAAAGAGGGCTCAGTAATAGGGCTAATTAAGAGGGATATAGAGGGAAGAGGAGTAGAGATAATGAGGTAGAAATATACAGTGAGACTGAGAAAGAGTGAGAGTGAGAGATCGAGAGAGGGAGAGGGGGATACAGAGAGAAAGAGACAGCAGGGGAAGAAAGAGAGAGAGAGAGAAGAGGGAGAGAGAGAGAGAGTGGGAAAGAGAGAGAAGAGGGGAAGAAAGAGAAAGAGAGAGATAGAGAGAGATAGAGAGCAAGAGGGAGAGAGAAAGAGGGAGAGAGGGAGAGAAAGAGAGAGAGTGAAAGAGAAAGAGTGAAACAGAAAGAGAGAGGGGATGTTAGAGGAAGAAAATAACTATGGTATTAGTCCATCAACATAAGCCCAAGTAAAGTGAATTGCAAATTATTACACATATAATTTGTTCATTGAAGCTTATCATGGACCATTAATTAAAAAACAATTGTATATACATTGTATATATGCCAGTATTTTTCAAATGATATACAGTGTGAGTCAAAAAAAAGTTTACACCTAGAAAATTGCTATTTGATTAGAAAATCATTGATGAACATTAAATTTTTATATGTCTTATGAAAGAGTGTTTTATCCCAAATCATTTGGATCATTTTCATGCGGTATGTGTTCACGCTTGAATGAACAGGAGACATTGTTTGCGAGAGTGCAAAATCCACTTGCGCCAAAGTTGCCTATGTGATGTTTTAATAAAACAATCGGGATTTGGGTATTAATTCAATCTTTGCAGATCCAAATAACATCCCTAACAAAATTAATCATGCCACACATATCAAATATTGAATATCAAATATCAACAAACATTTGTGCGCGTGTGTGTGGGTGTGTGTGACTTTGCCCTTTGGAAAAAAAACATATGCAATGCATTTCATTTGATACATTTAATCCATTCTCTCACTCCGCTAATCCCAACATAATACATACTGTAGGCATCACTTTGGCGCAAGTCGATTTTTGCACTGTCCCAAACAATGCCACCTGTTCATCCAAGCGTGAACACATACCCCACAAAAATGGTACCAAATGATTTGGGATAAAACACTCTTTCATAAGATGTATAATAATGTACTGATCATAGATGATTTTAAAAATAATTAGCAATTTTCTAGGTGTAAACTTTTTTTTGACACACTGTATACAATCACAAATCAATTCTAGCATGAGGATAAAGGGGATGTGTCGGGGATGGAAACCAGAGATCATGACACACTCTTTACATAGAGGATTGTTCCTATTGTTCTATATGGTATACAACAGATGTTTCCCCTATGCTCACATCTGCCTATTCTCTCAAAGAAATATGATTCAGAAACAAGTATTTAATTGCAAAGGAGTGCCTAAATTCAGCAAGGATATGGAAACAGAAAATGGATGCAAGTAAATACAAGGAGAGTTTGAGGGAGAGGGTTTGTTACGTCTGTTGAATACCAGAAGGACTTCAACTACTAGCATTTTAGAAAGAGTTACCGCCCTTCTGGCTCTTAAAAGACATTTATGTCTACAAAGGCCTTTATATTTCCTTACCAAAATGGGATAACACTTACATGTATACCTTCAGTTTGCCTATTTTCAATATATCTCTTAATGTTTAACAGCAAATACAATTTCTGGCAGCAAATACGCTGCTAGAAATACACATGTTGTGAAGGAAATTCACTTCAATTATATTTGATATGTTTGTCATATTGTTGTATGCATGCTTAGAGATTTATGTAGGTTAAAAGCATATAGGAGTAGTGGCTGTGCATGACGAATGAGGGCGGGATGAAGTTGAAGTGAGGCAATAGGTCATTGAAAGATAGGTGAACTTAAAGACAGCTTTGAGGGGAGATGGAGTAGAGAAACAAGATGAAAAAAAGATTGTAACAAATGTATTTTAAAGGAAAGTGAAGACTTGTTTCATATGTGTGGGGAAATACAAGACTAAGGTGCAAAAGAGAAGAGGAATAGCGAGAAAGAGATGAAGAAGGGGGAAAAAAGAAGAACAAGCACAAGAAAAGGAGAATGAGGAGAAGGAGGAAGAGAAGGAGAAGGAGAAGGAGAAGGAGAAGGAGAAGGAGAAAGAGGAGGAGGAGCAGGAGGGGCAGGAGGAAAAATATATAGAACAAGATGGACTCAAAGAAAAAGTGGAAGCAGTAGAAGATGAAAAAATGTAGGAAGCAGCGCTCAAAATACACGGGGGCGGTGGGGGATTCGCCCCCGTGAGCTACATAATTGCCCCCGTCAGGTTGCTCACGGGGCGATTGCAAAATTAAAAATCGCCCCCGTGGAATTATAAAATAAAGATTATCTTTTCTGTTCTAACTTTAACACAATATTGAGTTTCAATTTTCAAACCTTAAACCAATGAAATGGAACTTAGATTAGCGTGCAAGATTTCTCGTTTTATGAGTGGGCCTATTATTACCGATTCAGCTTGCAACTGCAGTGCCGCCGTCAGCAGTGGTTATAGGCCTACTGCGCCGTTAGTAGCGGTACGTATGCACGCTGCCGCGCCATGAATGCTGGAGCTGGAGGCGATCGCGCAAGGACAGAAACATGGTCATGGAGAAGTTTTTCGTTGTGAAAGCGTTAACCCGCTGAAATCTGGTGATTTCAAATGACCAGCAAATAATGAACCTCGACCAGGATATCAATATTAGGGATTTTTAGATTTGCACGATGAGAACGTGGACTGCAACGTGTGACCTCCTTTTAAGGCAGTTTCAGTGCTTAAAAGGACGTCACATGTGACTGCCAGTGCCTTAAAAGGACGTAACACGTCCACGTCCACGCAAATCTAAAAGTCCCTATTGAGAAGAAGAGGAGGACCAAGATGTCGTGGAATAACATGGGCAGATCTACGGGGGGGGGGGGGGGGGGTTAAGGGGTTTAACCCCCTCCTCCCACCCCCCCCCCCCCAGCCCCCTTGGGCTGCCAATTGAAAATGTGATATTAAAGCGGGGGGATGCTGGAGAGGAGGACTACTAATCTATTTTATTTTTTTCAGGGGGGGGAAGTGAAGCGCCGTTTTAGCATGACTTTCTTTTTAACTCTTACTTTCACCTATCTCAGATAACCTCAGATATCTCAGATAAAGTTTTTGGTTGCTGCTTTATATGTAGTTGATAATGCATGATTAAAATAAAGAGAGAGAGAGAGAGAGAGAGAGAACCACCATCATTTTGCAATGGTTCAGGGTTCGTGTAATGTACATTTGAAACCATTTCTTAGCATCTCAACCCTAAAAAAATAGCAAAACTATTTTTGAGGAAAAGCATTATACTGAATTAAATAAAGAATAATAGCTTTATATTGGATCATACTAATACTGATACGGGTTAAAGACAATGTGGTATTTGTATAGAGGTATTCCAAAATGACATTCTGATAATCAACATTTGTTCTGGTATCATATACGCATAATACAACTGATCTTTATGATTTCTTAACGTGACATAGCTTCTTCTCCCCCTGCAAACAAAAAAGAAAACAAGGTTATTTAATAAAAGGATCATGCGACAAATAATCATTGTGATTCAAATTGAAGCAAGGATTTTTTTGAATAAGCAATACTTTTCACCAGAATCTTCTTTGTAAAAACGACTTTACAAATCTCAGCCATGCAAATCTGCCACTGTGTTGTAAGATCACTTTCAGATTAGGAGAAGTGTATTCTTTAATGAGTATTTTACATTGAATGGAACGTCTCAACTCAGTAAGCATGGCTGAGATTTGTAAAAGTTGTTTTTACAAAGAAGATTTGGGTGAATAGCAGTGCTTATTCAAACAAATATTCGCATCAATTTGAATCACAATCATTATTTGTCACTTAATCCCTTTTAATGACCTTGTTTTCTTTCTTGTTTGAAAGGGGAGAAGAAGATATGTTACGTTAAAGACATCATAAAGATCAGTGTTGTATGCGTATATATTATATACACAGGCCAGTAACAGCTATGTAGCTAGTAAATTTGTAAGAGGGAAAATGCTGATTGAAATGATAATGATGAAATAGCAAATAATTGAGGAGTATCATAGGTACCAATTCAATGGATATTTGTATAAAAAAGAGCCCCCGTCAGTACTAAAAGAGCCCCCGTGAGAAGGCTCACGGGGGCTCTTTTTGGGGGGGAAGAGCCCCCGTGGACAAAAAATTAATTTGAGCCCTGGTAGGAAGATAAAAAGAAAGAATGGAGAAGACAAAATGAGACCTTACAATTAGATATTAGAAGGGAGTCTAATGAATGATGCAAGTGTTTGTAATAAAAATGCCCTTGAGAGTGCTAGCAAGATAAATTTGGGCCAATTTCGAGGCAGTATATTTCAAGGGGGCAAAAAAAGTGATATTTCAAAAGCTACTATGGA